CTTTGGGGGTGATTGGGTCATGAGAATGGAGCACTCATGAATGGGACTAGTGCCCTTATGAGAGAGGAGCAAGAGAAACCCCTTGCTCTTCCACCATGCAAGGACAGAATAAGGAGGAGCCCACTGTGAACAAGGAAACAGCATTTTACCAGACACCAAATCTGCCACCACCTTGACCTTGGCCTTCCCAGCCTCCAGAACTGTGAGAAATAAATTTCTGTTGTTTATAAACTACCCAGTTTATGGTATTTTGTTATAGCAGCAGACAGTCATAGTCTACCAACTTCTAGAAGTCCATGTCCCTCTCCCATAGTAAAACCTCAAATAATATTTGAATGAAGGACATAGAATCCGAGAGCCGGGTGGTAGATTTTTAAAGGGGAAGAAACAGAGACCAAGAAAGAGGAAGTAAACAAATAAAAATTACAATTTAATTTACCATATCAAATCTATTTTTTTTCCTTTTTCCAGATTATCCATCTTAGTAGAGGATTAAGGTAGGGTGGGTGTGGATGGAGTTTTGGCCTGAGTTCCCCAGAAAGCAGTAGCCTAGACAAAAGTCATTGTGCAAAAACTTTATTGGGGAGTACAGTTCCAGAAGCAGAAATAAGAGAACGGGGGTTCAAAACAGGTTGGTGGGAGCACCAGTACAAAGAGGCTTTGATGAGATGGCTACAATTACAGGGATCTGGCTACTTGACCCTGCAGAATTGTCTCAAGAACTTTATGAAATTATCAAATACTTCTGGGTAAAACAAGGTGGGAGCTGAGGGGTTTCACTGCATTGTTTTAAAAAGGAGGAAAAGTGAGACACTGTTGAGTTGCACAGGTGTGTAGCTGGTCGGAGCCACTATTAAACTAAGTACTGTAGTGGTAGCTGGAATAGGGACAGATGAGGCCATGGTGACCTATGTATCCAATACATAGATAAACTATAGAAACAAAAGGAGCATTGAAGCAATGATCCAAATTTTTTTTAACTTCTCAATGTACATTGTAGCTGATTTTCATGACCCTTTACCCATTCCTCTTCCACACTCCCTCTCTCCCCCCATCATATCTGCTCACTTGTCTTAACAAGTTCAAAGAATTGTGATTATCATGTCTTCTCCCCACCCCCACCCTTTATTTATTTGTGTTTATTTATTATTAGCTCCCACAAATAAGTGAGAACATGTGATATATCTCTTTCTATGCCTAACTTGTTTCACTTAATATAATTTTCTTTTTTGTGTGTGTGTGTGTGTGTTTTGATAGAAGTTTATTTGTAGGCACTGAAATTTGAATTTTTTTTTTTTGTCAATATACAATGTAGTTGATTATTATGTCCCATCACCGAAACCTCCC